AATGGGCCCATAGCATGCTCGCTTGCTTGCGTAGCGACAGCCGAATAATAACCATCAGACAGAGGGATGACTTTTGGCTGTCCACCTTGTTGGACCCTCGCTACCATTCAAAAATGGTGGCCTTTTTCACACCTGCTGAGAGGGAGGCCAAAATAACGTACTATAAAAACCACCTATGTAGTCAGCTGGTCTCTGCCTGTCTGCGCCAACGTCCATCCTCAGACACTGTGGGCCCTGTGCGCTCGCGTTCCGCTGCCATGGCAGCAGGGGAGGGGTGGGGTGGTAGGAGCAGTGGCAGCTCCACCAGCAGCAGCTGCCTCAGTCTGCAGTCGATGATGAGTAGCTTTCTTCACCAGCGCAGTGAGGAAACTAATAACCAGCCGCAGCAGCAGCAGCAGCAGCATCAGGCATCAGGTGGACCTGGAGCAGGACCTCAAACAACAGGCTTAGGCCTACTTGGACAGCACCCTGCCAACCGAGGTAGACAATCCCCTTGACTACTGGGCAACGAAACTTGACCTTTGGCCCCAACTAGCTGAATTTGCCCTTGAAAGGCTGTCATGCCCGGCCAGTAGCGTGCATCGGAGCGCGTGTTTAGTGCGGCAGGAGGTATTGCAACTCCGCGGAGGACACGACTGTCCACCCAAAGTGTGGAGAGACTCACGTTTGTGAAAATGAATCAGGCGTGGATTAGTCTGGATTTCAAACCACCAGTTCCTGACACAACTGACTAAATCCGCCATGAATCATGCCCCAAACATGTGCCACTTTCAGGTCTCCTCACACTGCTGGTGTGTTCCATTTTTTTGTCATAGGGTGCTGGCAGATTACGGGCCTCCCATAGCTGCTGCCAGGCCCCTAATCTGCCATGGGCCCCTATACCGCCTCCTCATGCTGCTGCCAAGTCCAGAGTCTCTCATGGGTCCCTGTACGGCCTCCCATTGCTGCTGTCTCCATCGCCACACTCTGCCATGTGCCACTTTCAGGTCTCCTCACACTGCTGTGTGGGTTCCATTTTTTGTCATAGGTGCTGGCAGATTACGGGCCTCCCATAGCTGCTGCCAGGCCCCTAATCTGCCATGGGCCCCTATACCGCCTCCTCATGCTGCTGCCAGGTCCAGAGTCTCTCATGGGTCCCTGTACGGCCTCCCATTGCTGCTGTCTCCATCGCCACACTCTGCCATGTGCCACTTTCAGGTCTCCTCACACTGCTGGTGGTGTTCCATTTTTTGTCATAGGGTGCTGGCAGATTACGGGCCTCCCATAGCTGCTGCCAGGCCCCTAATCTGCCATGGGCCCCCGTACCGACTCCTCATGCTGCTGCCAGGCCCGTAATCTGTCATGGGCCCCTGTTGTCGCTTGTTGGCATATTCCGCTCGTTCAGATGCTCCTTCTCCTGCTACTCCTCTTCACGGATTCCGTCAGCAGTCTTTCTTGGAATCCGTTTCCAAGAGACAACAGTTTGCGAGCACGCACCCGACGGGTGCAGAAGCTGAACGTCCTCCTGTCCAAGTTGCTGCTGCCAGGCTCGTAATCTGTCATGCGCCCCTGTACCGCCTCCTCATGCTGCTGCCAGGTCCAGAGTGTGTCATGGGCCCCCGTACCGACTCCTCATGCTGCTGCCAGGCCCGTAATCTGTCATGGGCCCCTGTACCGCCTCCCCATGCTGCTGCCAGGTCCAGAGTGTGTCATGGGTCCCTGTACGGCCTCCCATTGCTGCTGCCAGGCCCGTAATCTGCTATGGCCCCCGTACCAACTCCTCATGCTGCTGCCAGGCCCGTAATCTTTCATGGGCCCCTGTACCGCCTCCTCATGCTGCTGCCAGGTCCAGAGTGTGTCATGGGTCCCTGTACGGCCTCCCATTGCTGCTGTCTCCATCGCCACACTCTGCCATGTGCCACTTTCAGGTCTCCTCACACACTGCTGGTGGTTTCCATTTTTGTCATAGGGTGCTGTATGGCCTCCCATTGCTGCTGCCTCCACCGCCACACTGTGGCTCCACACTCTGGTTTTGGCCCCGTGACTGCCCAAATGAGTGAAGTGTGCGGTGATTCTAAGATCGACGGCACTCATCTGCATGTCATACTGACTGTCAGTATTATTTCTCTTCCCCAGCAGACTCCAAGGGCATTTAAATTAAAGGTACAGTGTTCTGCACTAATATAAAGGCTCTCTGAAGCCTAGAAACACCCTTTTATAAGTTAAATTCGCAGCGAATATATTCGACTCGAATCAAAATTTTTCCACGAATTCGCTGAATCAGTCGAATCGAATTTTTGAATACTTCGCTCATCTCTATAGAAGTGTACCAAAATGGAAAGGGGAGGATGAAAGCTAAACTCTGAGTAGGAAAGCAAGGAAATGGGGATTAAGAATTTAAGAATAGGCATGAAAAAGAAGGGAAGAGAGGGGAAGAAGAAAAAGAGAAAAAAAAAAGGGGGCGGGTGGGGGGAGGAAGATGGGGGGTTGGGGAAGGTAAGGACGGGGGGGAGGAGGTGTGGAGGAGTAGGAGGGTAGGTAAGTCACCTTTACTCAAGACTCCCAGGACATGAGAGATACGCACAACCCTGGCAGAGAAGCGAGCTGGGGACAGTTGCAGGCGTAGCAGGGTGCCAAACGTAACTTGCTCCAAGCAGTACAGGACATGGAGGGAAAAAGACCTCAAACACAACCTTAAAAACAACAGAGAGCTGATATATTGCCAGAAACACTACGGGGTATCAGAGAGGTTCAGAATCAGTCAGCAAGGCCCATGAAAGAACGTTATTCAGGGGTCGTTCGGAAGTGAATCCAACAGGACCAAGTATGAGAAAATTTAGTAGGGTTATCCAGAGAAGAAGCAATCAGCTCTTCCATTTCAGCAATTCTGTTCAAACGTGTGAACCAATCTCGCACTTTGATGGGGTGAACAGACCCCCAGAGAACCGGTAAGCAGAGTTTAGCCGTGTTAAGCATATGCATAGCCAGAGATTTGAAAATATAGACGTTTGGATAGCAGAGTGTGGTGGAGGAGGAGAGTTGGGCTGGAGAGAACTCAATATCAAGAGTAGACACCGAAGAAGTAATCCGATGTACCTCCTGCCAAAAGGTTCTGAACCATAGGGCAGTCCCACCAGATATGCAGAAGAGATCCAACAGGAGCCCCACATCTCCAACAATTACTAGGTCTGGATGGATCAAAATGATGGATTCTAGAAGGTGTATTGTACCAACGTGTCACCAACTTGTATCCGTTTTCTTGTGCCGAAACATTCAAGGAGCACTTATGAGAAAACGTAAAGATTTGGTACCAATCAGAAGAAGAAAAGTCAATGTTTAAGTCTCTTTTCCAAGCTTTGCAGGCGGGAAGTGAATCAGAGGTTCTGTCACCAAGGAGAAGCAGATAGGTAAATGATACTAAATGCCTCCGTGGTTCAGCCATTGAACAGAGTGACTCAAAGGAGGTGAGAGGGTGGACCCATTTATGGCGATATGCAGGAGAGAGAAGAAAATGTCTGATTTGAAGATAGGCCCAAAAGGGAAAGGTGAGATCACCCATAGTACTTGCCAGGGAAGAACAAGACTTCAGCTGACCTTTGTGAAAAAAGTGGTTCGCCAGTACTTGACTGTGTGGCCAATGTGCTGATGGAAAGGACTTATGCATACCGGGAGGGAAGTCCAGATTGAGGTGAAGAGAAGTTGGTGGGTTGGGGGCATCGAAAATGGAGACCAATTTACAGGCTAAGCGAAAGGTTTTAAGGGAAGGACGTAGGAGGAGGTCTTGAGGAATGTGTTTGGTCAGAAGCCACGGGATCGATGCCAAGGGGGAAGTGAAACAAGAGTGTTCCAGCTGGACCCACGCTTTGGTGGTAAAGTGAATATTCCAATCAATCATCCTAGTAAGATGGCAGGCCCGATGGTAAAGTTGCAGGTCAGGTAGTCCAATCCCCCCTTTGGATTTGGGAAGCACAAGTTGGGAGAAAGAAATACGTGGCCGTTTATGATTCAAGAGAAAAAGAGAGCACATTCTTCTGCATGAAACGAAAAAGGTGGGTGGTAAATGGATAGGCAAGGTTTGAAATAGAGGCCTCCTCTATTTCAAACCTTGCCTATCCATTTACCACCCACCTTTTTCGTTTCATGCAGAAGAATGTGCTCTCTTTTTCTCGGGGAGATATTCATTTTTAGTATAGCAGCCCTACCAAACCAGGAGAAGCTCGGATGGCACCAAGGGTTGGAAGAAAGTTTTTGACATAAAGATGAGAGAGGTTACTCGTAAGCTGTATTCCCAGATAGGTAAGGGAGTCCCTTTCCCATTCAAATGGGAACTGTGACTGACAAAAGGAAACCAGGTCTGGAGGAAGAGTAATGTTTAAGGCATAGGATTTGGAATGATTAATTTTGAGGTTCGAGATATATTGAAAGAAGGAAAAATCCTTAAGTAGGTTGGGCAAGGTAATCCGGGGTTCCGTCAGAAACAAAAGCATGTCGTCTGTGTAGGCAGCAAGTGCCTTGAGTTATATTTAAGTCCTTGTACAGGCTATATATAAGTTCATTTTTCTTTAAAGTAATTATTATTATTGTGTTTTGATTAAAGGTTGAAATTAGTAAAGTATTCCTGTCCAGCATTTCTGACATATGCTGGTACTTTTCCACTCCTAATATGATGACATTTTATCTTCACATGCTTTTGTGGATGGTAATACACCACTTTGTTTGGATTTATTATTCCAATATCTGCCCTTGATTGATTCCTCATTCAAGTAAGAGTTAGGAGACAATCAGACCCTCATTAGTTTGTCCCCCCTTAGTCCCAGACTCTCATTTCCTCCAGAGATATGGAGAGATGGGAGTTATTTGGGAGTAGCAATTGGATCCTGATGAAGCAAATTCTATGCAAAACGAGTCATTTCACATGATTTGTATTTCATTTTTGAAATTCAGATCTTGAGGATATGGCTTTTAACTGTAGTTTTATGTAAAGCTGTATATTTATTCTACTCAGTTATTATTGTGTTGGCATATTTTTAATATCCACATTTTCCTGTCTTCCTAAGTGTTGACTAGAAGCTTATGTTATTTCTTGTGTTTATAATAGGAGATGGTGCCTTATATCTGTCTACATGGGGTTTCCACTTTGGCTATGTGAAGTTTCTTACTCCCCCCAAAAGTTTTCCTTATTTTTTTTAAGTGGTTGTAAGCCCTTACAAATACCCAGTGAAGTGACTGGCCTCAAGTGATACTCCAAGATAAAACAAATCCTCCTACATAAAGTGTACCTGTTTATCTGCTGTTTTCTCTTCTTTACAGCCATTTAAAGCCCAGAATTTACTCAGCATTTCTGAGGTTCCAGAAAACAGGGACGGAAAGCTGAAATGACACACTGCTGAGCTCAGTGAAGGGAGCTCTGAGAAATGATCGGAAGGAAGAGACACATCCCACACAACTCACAGGAACAGAGCTGTCAATCTGCTGGAGGTACCTCCTCTGTCACCATTTATCTCTTGGTGTCAGGAAAACATGTCAGAAGTGATTCATGCTGCTATGAATGAAGCATCAGACAGAAATGACACTTAGTGCTCTGAATTGAGACAAGTACACACCAGGGCGGTCTGACCATTCGAGCACTTGGGTACTGCCCGAGGGCTCGGGGTCAGTAGAGGGCCCCATGAGATGCCCCTGGTACCTTTCATTGGCTTTTTCATATGCTTTTTTGGGTGTGGGTGAGGACACAGGGGACCCATGATCCCCTATTGCCCAGGGGCCCCTTGAGTTGTCAGTCCACCCCTGGTACGCACTATAGAGGGATATGCTTTGTTCATATTTCATTTCTGAGGTGTACAACCACTTTAAACCTCCCTCTCTCTTTGCAGAGCTCCAGTTCTGTCCAAGGTGACTCCTAGCAAGTGGCAGGTTCCATGACTTCTCAAAATTGTACAGCAGTTTTAATTTTAACCTATTCATGGTCCCCAGGTGTGATGGTTCTCAAGGCACACCTGCAGAATGATTCACTAAAAAACTGAGAAATTACACCAATTAGAAAAACTAATTTGCCAGGTGTTGCAAAAACATACCCATACCAAATTGCAATTAGAAAGACATAAAAGGCTTTATGTGTGAACCTGTGCCATCATAGTACACATCAAACATTTAGTGAATATCTTATAGGTGTGGGTCATCTATGATTGCTGTGTAATACAGCTAGAAATGTGCATAGAAGTGCATCAGATAACATATGGGTAATGATGCCACAATATTCAGGATGCTCCACGCTATGTTTATATTTCAGCAGTGCACATACACACAGGTATAATTAGTTAATAATAAAGATATCTCCAGATTAATGCTACAGCAAATTCCAGTTGCAGGGGCCCCTGAGGATGATGGGGCATCTATTTATATCAGAGATCTGAAGACATGATCAGAGGTAATGGGGGTATCTTCCAACTGTTCTCTGCCTGGAATAGGACTTCTCACCAGCAACCACTGTGATGTCCTGGAACTCACACTCTCCACTTTAGTCTCTATGTAGTAGTGTATAATAGTTTCTTCTGGTCCAGTAATAGCAGGGATAGGACTTGAGGCTAAGGCTTTCTCTCTCCTAACTTCCTCCTTCAAGGGTTTCAAAGCCAATGACCAAGTGGTAGGAACTTCATGCATAGTATATTTACAGGCATTTACAAGCATGTACAAATTCAGACAGTAGAGGGCAGTATATACCTACACTTATTTTACAGCATTTTGTCACAAATGCCTAAAACATTTGCACAGTACTGATCATGTATTGCATTTTGCTTATGAATATTTTGCTTTAAAATTTTAAATTCTAATGGATTTCAAAGGTTTGCAGATTTAAATCAATTATAACTTTTTCCTGAAATTTTTCACGCTGGACAGCAAACAAAATATAATGCAATGCCATCTGAAAAGGGTATGCATAGTCCTAAATTATCATTTTGTTCAAAACATTTATGTAGAAATTGATAGCAAAGCACTCAACCAACCATTAATATTTGATGAAATCCAATTAATTCCCCATTAACTGAGATTTCCCAGGAACCACTTAAAGGCTCTTCGCAGCCTCATAGCCCTGGAAACTGAAGCAAATGAGCCAGGAAATGGAATGCACACCTCATCGCTACTATTAAATGCATTCTCAATAAAATGCAGAGAAGGTTTAAACAAGA